CTACCCAAATACTTAAGAATTTCACAATTAGACTGGTAATTTCAGTCTTATTATAATACGCCTGCTGCGTGTTAGTCTTATTGTTGAAATGAACCTGCATTAGAATCCGACTAGATGAAATCCGTCGTATACGTATACGACTGATAGTGCACCAGGCGAATTGTATTGAATAAAACTTTCAATGTGCCTTTTGGCCGATATATTGTGCTGAACGCTAACTTTCTTATTCTTTATGCCAATTGCCAAAGAGACATCTTAATCACCAAAGTTTAAAGTATTTTTTCCAAATTTCGTCTCTGTAGCATAAATAATAGAAAAGCTACCCTTCAGCGCAACATGTATCTTTGTTTCTCTTTCTGGAATATCAATTATTTCATTACCTACTTTGGCAGTCAGTGATTTAATCCCTTGGAAACCATCGATCAAGCCGTGTATGGTACCAATTTCATAATCTAGAACAATAAACAATAATATCGGTTGACTACATGCCAGGAACCGCATCTCTCCCCACTACTTATTAATCCTTGTGTTATTTTGTATCTTTCTCTAACACGTAGAAAGCGATTATTTTTCAAGGAAAATTAGCAACGCTGCAAAAAAATAAATCCCACCTCGAATTCCACCTTTCCACCAATCAGCGGCTTCTATTCGATTGTCATGTCAAAATGAGACCTGCAGGTATTTTATGACAATTTCCATTTGTCAATCAGTGCGCAGTGAGTGTATCCGCATCTTTTTCTAAAATTATGTAAAATATAAGGATAAAGATACACTTTTGTAGCACTGATTCTGGTTTAATTTTCAGAGTTGCCAAGTATGCGATAGTAAAATGGGGGCGGAGTTAGCGGAATCATTTGAATCCCTACTCCTAGCCGCTCTCACAGCTCACCCCCCCCCCTGGCCCATAAACATGTAGTCAACCAAAACAAAGCTATTTTATCAATGGGATGTTCTGTCTATCTGTGTTAATAGGTCATTGCGTGATACTCACTACAGTTCAGGCACAAATATTACACAGAAATAAAACTAATCAACAATGATAATTAATATTATTCGACTGGCACACTGTCAGTCGTATTATCCGTGCGTTCGTTATTTTGGTCTGAGTTCTCCGAGCATGACTTTACCGTTCGTTTATTCAAAAAGTGTACTCGGTGCAGCCTCATTCGCGTTCGTTTATTAAAATTTCTGGCACTTTTATATAGCGTTCAACTGCTCTGTTCCCTCGCTGGTCACGTGATTACGGCTCCGCTCAGCACGCTCTGCTCTTCGAGCAAAATACCGAACGCAAGGAAAAATACGACGGATTTCATCTAGTCAGATTCTAATGCAAGTTCATTTAAACAATAAGACTAACACGCAGCAGGCGTATTATAATACGACTGAAATTACTAGTCGAATTGTAAAATTCTTAAGTATTTGGGTAATATTACGATATGCCTAGTCTTATTGAAAAAGCCTAGGCGTATTATAATAAGACTGATTTTACAATAAGCCTGCGACATACATACGATATACCCCGCAATAAGTACTGGGTCCATAATAGATCTCAGCCACCAGCTCGAAAGCTGTGCCCACCCCCGCAACAGCCTTAACTAAATGAAAAGTGAGAATGTGAATGGGTAATTCTTCCTTAGATCGAATTTGACACTGTATACCTACTATGGCAGACATCACAGGATTATGAGAGGTAAGAGCTCTATGGGTAAGACTGGTTGTCTAATTACAAATAAGCCATATATTTTCTTCCAAATTTAAAACTTATTGGCCGCGTTCACCAGATACAAACGTTGGTAAACGGTTTGCGATTTTTCTGCTGAACGGTACGTTGAATTTATGTTGAAACCAAACCTGTTTTGCAAACGGTTGCCATTTTTGGAAGCATAATTTGAGAGTGTTTATAAGTTTCAACACTGTGTTTTGTGTGGTGACCTGTCATTCAGAGGGTGACATTCTATCATTGAAAAGTTGAATCGTTCAGCAGAACCAAGAGTTTACCCAACATATTCTGTTGGTATTTGTAATCTGTTTACAATCCGTTTTGGTTCTGGTGAACGTAGCCATTATCTTTTAATAAATATAATAATTATTTTCTATTTACCAAGCTAGCCAAGAATTTTTAAAGTCATCGACATTATGAACAGTGGGTCAGTAAAACATATACCTATTTACCTGAGTCAGCACTTTAGTTAATTTATTAGTAAATTACCTTTGAAAATATTGAATTTATTTGTGTATAAATAGTGTTGCCGTTCCCTAAATAAATTAGTATTAAACCATCAATCGTTTGTACCTACTCAATCACACCCACAGTCAAGTGCTTACCACAGAGTGTTACTACGCACCCTATCAAGTATTCGGCAACAAAGAAGAATTAGGTGCTCAGTCATCCTCTGCCGCCTTTCCTAGTCACAAGAATTCTCACATCTAGGGAACAATTGTATATTTGGTCCTTCGAGCCGGATACATCTAATGATTCTAATGCAATGCTTGATAGTATTTTTTACTGCATTTTGTCCATTTATGATCCAAAATAGTTTTCTGGTGTATAAACTAAAGTTGGCTGATTCCCGCACCATGTAGATTGGTGAGATGGGCATGTGTGACTACGCATCTTGCCAGGTGACTTCGATATGGCAAATTCATGGGACGTTTGTTACTGTATATGGTAGTTGTGAGTGCGGAAGTCGACCTCCTACTCTCAAAACTTTATCATTGTCTAGAAACGGGTTGAGACTCATTCAATAATGAAAATCACACAAAACATTGCTGTTCCATTGTGACAATGTGTAACAACGTGGTTGTCATTTCTTCGACAGTTAATTTCGATGGATGCTTCTTTTTTCTGCATTTGTCCAGAAATCTTTTACAGTGACGAGAATCTCTGAATGATTTCATTGCTGTCCTTTGTTTGTGTGGTGATGATGGCTGTGTAGCTAATTTTTTCTTCTTCAGTCGTTGTAGGAATGATGAAAGGATTTCTTGTGATGCTATGTAACATTAACCATGATGGTCCATGCCACCAGAGAGCGTATTTCTTTAGTTTTGATGGCTCTAGTTCTCTGGATATTACACTGGCAGGATTGTCTTCCGATTTTACATGATTCCAAAATTCACTGGAAACTGGATACAAGTTTGTTTATTTCAGAGACTCTATTGACAACAAATTTTTTCCATCTTGATGGTTCTCCTTTTATCCATGCCAGTGTTATCATGTGGTCTGAGTAGGCATAGACTGTAACTTTCTCTAGCAATAATATAGTTCTTTTGATTAGTTTTGACAACAGAACTGCAGGCACAAAGTTCAAGTTGTGGTAGAGTTGCCTTCATCCGTGCTGGAGCAACTTTGGATTCAGCAGTTAAGAGGGTAACTTTGGCTTTCATCTCGTGTATTTGTAAGTTTCATGTAGGTAGATGACTGCTTTCTCTGATGCATTGCAAAATCTATGTATCTCAATGTTGCTTTGTTTGGATTGATGTGTCTATCTGGAAATTGTAAATTGTTCGACATTTTCTAGTTCTGCATCTTAATTCTTGTAACCATAATTTTTGGATGAGAAGTTTTGCGTTTACGATCACTGTGCCAATGCTTCTTCAATAGTATCTGCACCGGAAAGAAAGTTGTCTACATAGAAATCGTGTAGGGCTGTTTCAGCTGCCTTTGGAAAATTTGTGGCCTCATCACTGGCTAGATGCTGCAGTATTTTGATTGCCAAATATTAGTGATGCCGCGAGACTCGAGACTGGTCTCGTCTCGTCTCGACTTTTCGAGACGAGAAAGGCTTTTGGTCTCGTCTCGTGAAGTCTCGACGAGAGGAGACCCGACTCGTCGAGAGTCTCGTGTAGTCTCGAGTCTCGAGATTACACTTGAAATTTTTCTTTCATAGCTTTATTATTGGACTATTCTGGGTTATTTGAATATGAAACCAGTAAATTAAATATCAGGGTTACTCTTTACTGTGATTTTTTATTAATTGCTTTTTCATTGTGGCAGTTTGGACTTCCGTTATAATAAAAAAACAGAAACCATAAATACATGGTGTCCGAAAAAACGCGTATAAACTCTCCACGTACTAGAGGACCCTTTGAGAAACCCTAGAAAAATAATTAAATTAAAAAAATCCTTCTCCAGCATTATGCTTGGTAATATGAAGAGGTAAGTAGATGTGAAAATTCCCGTTCGAATTCTTCGAGTAGTTATATGGATGTTTGATTTAATTCTCTGATATATTGTCAACGGAATACTTTCAGTGTTGCCAATTTTAATAAATATTAAAATGCAAATAATTTTCTCAAGAATGCCACTAGATTTTTTAAAGTATTTTTCTGGGGTTCCTTGTAGGGTCCTCCACCACGTAGAGAAGAGTTTTTACGCTATTTTTTGGACACCCTTTATAACTCGAGACCAGACGAGACTTTAGTACTCGAGACCGAGACTAAATTACGGTCTCGTCTCGAGATGTCGAGACGAGACGAGACCAACCCTAAGTCTCGTCTAGTCTCGTCTCGCGGCACCACTACCAAATATGGAGCTATGGTTGTACCATATGTTACTGTTGTGAGACAGTATTCTTGTATTAGATATTTTTTGTCGAACCGCCAGAGAATTCTTTGAAATTTCTGATCGTCTGGAGGAATTTTGATTTGTATATACATCTTCTCAATGTCAGCTATGATAACTATTCTGTGTGATCTCCAACGTAAAAGAATATCCCAAAGCTTTTGCTGTAATTTGGGACCAGTGTACATTGTTACGTTCAGTAAAGAGCATATCAGAGTCGTAAAAAGTGTTTTTTGTATAATCGGATTCAACAGCAAATGCCATCAAAAGTTGAGGCAGGCCCACAATTTATAGGTGTACTATACTTACCTACCTACTATTCTCTTTATCCTAGCCCCGTTTGTACTTTGGATAGGTACATACCTAATTTTAGACAATTATTATAGCTGAGCAAAACAACTAGTTTTTGTCAAGTCATTTTCGTACGATACGTAATCCACTTTTTTGCGCTTTCTCTGACCTCCTTATCAAACAAAAAATAAATGCACTTAAGTAATTAAGTAAAATGTTTTATTTGATATTGGTGTTTTGCATGTTTAAGTTGTAGGCGCAGTTGATGTTTAAGATTCTTATCGCAATGGCTTATTCCAATTTCAGGTAAGTACCTATAATTTAAGGGTTTAGAAACTTTGTATATTCAAACATTGTTCAGGAAATTCATAATAAAATTTGTCGCCACTGTCAAGATTATCCTCCGAACGTATGCGCAGTAGCTTACAATCTTGAAACAAACACATTTATCATTTATTTATCAATTAGTACGATCACGTCAACAATCAACATGTTTTCTTTTCATTTGCACAGTACATTAACTAAAAGTGAGCTCATATGTATTTCGTATTTGTGCCACAATGTCCAAGCTCAGGTGTGTAATTTTTTAAAGTCTTCAATTTTTTTCTATATGTGGTAAATGGTTTGAAATATACCTACTGACTTTAGCTTGGTTATTTGATTTTTAGACGACCTTATCCAGCCCTTACCGTCCAGCAAAAAATATTCTATGAAGAAAATGGATATATCTTGATTGAAAACAATGTCAGCTCAGAATTATTGGATGAAATGAAGTAAATGCATATCTACACCTATTATATCTTAACAAGTTAATATTATTTGTATCATTTTAGACAGAGATTTATTGATATATGCAATGGAAAGGAGAATCAAGTGTTAACCGTCATGAAAGATGCATCATTGAAACATAAAGGAGTTAAAGGAGAATACCTCATCAATAAGGTGATGCATAATTATTTTACATACCTACAATATTTTCTGGTGCAAGGTTAAAGGTTTATCAAGTAATAGATAATTAATGCTTCATATAAATAAAAATAAAGTGAAGACATTCTAATTGAGGAGATTAATAATATGAGGCTAGTTTCATCAAGTATATAGGACATCTGGTTGGCCTTTTTTACTATGTGTCCTATATGCGTTTTCAACTTAGATTGTTAGTTCCATGTACACCTAGGTCCTTCAATCTGTTCTTTCACATTTTATAATTCCATATTGTTAATTTTGTACTCGTTCATTGGGGTTTTGCGACCTATTTTAAGCACTGTGCATTTTGCCTCGTTGAACTTGAGTTGCCAGGTGGTTGTCCATTGCTCTATTTATGCAGATCTTCTTGGAACAGGTGCATTTGTGTCAGTGGATTGCGAAAAAGTTTTTTGTCATCTGCGAAGGCCTCGATGTTCATTCATTCTGATGCTTTTTGCCAGGTCTGCTATGTAGATCAAAAAGAAAATGGATGCTATGACCGATCCTTGTAGTACTCCACTTTATAGAGATCTGAGTCGGTTCCATTTGCTCTTACTATCTTTGAGAAAATTCCTGCTTCACCGTAGGTAGAAGCATCGGATTCCACAGTGATCCAGTTTATTATTATTATTATTATTATTTGCTTGACAATAGAAAGCGGTTTGACACCGATGAGTCTATCGTATCTTCTCTGTCCAATGCTCTGCGTCGTTTCTTTAAATTGGGTTTAAAGGTAGTGTACTAGGGTGGAGTTCAGATAGGTTTCGATCCAGTCTATTCTTGAAAATGTTTTTTTAGGCACGTTTATAGTATCCTGGTTTAATGTATTCCACCGGTATACTACGCGGTTGCATAAGAAGTTTTTTCTTAACGCTAAGGATGTTTTCTCTTTCTTGAGCTTCTTGTCGTGTCTTCTGAGGTTTTTATTCATGTTTCGTTGAAAAATGTCTGCCATATGCAGTTCTGGGAAGTAGTGTCCACACAGGATCTTATAGGTCTCTATTAAGTCGCCTCTTTCTCTTCTTTCTTTCAGAGTTGTTAAGTTAAATCTTTGCAATCTGATATCATATGGAAGATTATGTATTTCAGTTGGGATTCTCGTGATTCTTCGGTGCACAGGTTCTAGCAGCTCTATATCCTTGCAGTAGTACGGGTTCCAGACTGTGTGTGCGTACTCAAGTTTGGGCCTTATGTAGGTTGTATAAACTTTTTTGATCATTTGGATAGAGTGATTGGTAAAAGCCGTTTTTACTAGGTACACCAACTGATTCGCTTCCTTCACAACTCGGCATATGTGTGTTTCCCATTTAAGATCTTGGCTTACGTGCACGCCCAAATCTTTTTGTTGGTTAACATTCTCTAGCTTTGTTCCCTTAATTTTGTAGTCAATCATCGGTTTATTTTTTCCTACATGCAGCACTGTACATTTCTTTCCATTCAGAATTAACTGCCACGTGTCAGTCCATCGTTTGATTGTACTGAGGTCCTCCTTGAACTGATCCAATTGCTTCAATGGGTTGCAGAAGAGTTTTTTGTCATCTGCAAAGGATACTGAGTTACTTTTTAAACTTTTGGTTAGGTCTGCTATATAAAGTATGGAGAGGATAGAAGCCAACACTGATCCCTGTGGCACACGGTGGCACACCGCTGATTACGGGGTGTAATTCTGAACAGATTCCATTGACCCTGACTGCGTATTTTCTACATTCAAGAAAGGAGTCACTCCGTCGAAGATAGGATCCTCTAATGCCGTAGTGGTCTAGTTTGTGGAGAAGTCTTTTATGTGAAACGGTGTCGAAAGCCTTTTGAAAGTCGAGATTCACTATATCTACTGGGTTGCCTTCATCAACTTCTTTATTGGTCCAATAATTTACACAACTCAAGAGGTTGGTGGTGGTTGATCTTTGTGGTAGAAATCCATGTTGTGACGGTGGAATAATAGAACTTTCCAGTAGAAAACTTGTGATATATTTTGCAAGTATTTTCTCCATTACTTTACAGTGTGCATGTCAGGCTTACTGGTCGGTAGTTTCCAGGATGATGTTTGTCTCCGCTCTTAAAAATTGGGATTATGATAGCCTGTGTCCAAATTTTTGGTAGGATGCCTTCTGTTAGCGAGCTGTTGAATATTTTTACTAATAGAGGTGTTAGGGATTCCGCACATCTTGTTAGGAAAATGGCAGGTATTCCATCGGGTCCCGGACTCGAGTAGGTCTTTAGCTCCTTTAGCACCTCGTATACTTCTTCAGGTGTGATAATCTTGTTGTTTATTTGATTTGGGTTACGTGTTTGGTCTGGCATCGTGAGAAAATCGCAGAAGCATTATTTGGTGAAAACAGATTCAAACTGGTTGGCAAAGGCCTCTGCCATTTCGCTGGGGTCATCGTTGATTCACTGGGTCTTTCAATACTACGTCGTGTAGTTGACTGTTGATCGAGGTTTCTTTTTATGAAAAAGTGTGTTTATCGTTCTTTTCTAGGATGTCTTGTTCATATTTGAGTCTTGCCTTCTTGATCATAGACCTCAGTTTGTTGTTGTGTGTCCTGTATGTTATATAGTTTTGGTCTGATTTTTGTTTTTTATATTTGTCCCATAATTTCCTCTTGAGGTCAATTTCCTTGAAAATGAATGCATTCAACCAAGGTTTTTGGACGTCGGTCTGGCATAGTTTCTACGGGAAGAAAATATCTATTGTTGTTGTCAAAATGCTTTCAAATTCTTCGTACTTCTTGACAGTTGGTTCGATATCTCCCGCTAAGTTCTTGATGTATTCATTAATGAGTTCGTAGTTAGCAATGTGAAAGTTTCGCTTTTTTATTCTCTTTGTTGCATTTTGTTTTAATCTCAGCTGCACTACACCCGCAATAGTGATGTGATCGCTTTTCCCAAGTGGTGCTTTAGCCTCTATCAATGACATAATTTTTTTGTCGCTTGTCAGGAAAAGATCCAGTAGACAGTAGAGAACTTTGATTGTTTCTAAATCTTGTATCGAAGGTTACAACTTGATGACATCGCCATTTTTTGTAGCACGTTAGAAAATCGGTGGCTTTTTGACATGGTTTATTCAGTCTTAGAGATCTCCAACAAATCTATGGGTGGTTGAAATCGCCGCTCACAAACACTTCGTCATTCTCCTCAAAAACTTTCTGTAGTAGATTGTGAAGGACTGTATTTTCTTGGCGGGTGGTTCTTCCTGGTCTATTGATACATCCCAATAGAAAGTTTTTATCTGATATTTTTACATCCAAAAACGAAGCGTCCACAGTTCCATTTATTATGTATTTAGTGTTAAGAGTGGTCTTAATTTTGAAATCGTTTGTTTCGGATGCTGCATATACGCATACGCCTCCGCCGTCCTGTAGACTCCTGTCAGCCCTAAACCGGTTGTATCCCGGCATAGAGATCAAAGAAAGTGTCTGGTATATTTTTGTTAAGCCACGTCTCCGTAATTAGTAGGAACGTTGGTTTTTCTTTGGCAATCAGTGCATGGATTTCTAGTAGTTTGGGACGAATGGATGAAATGTTTGTGTAAAAGAATTTTATGTCTGTAAGCGGACTTCTTAGTTTTTTTTGTTGGGTTTGATGGTTAGGTTTGTGGTTAACTTTACTTGCAATAAGCTTTGGCACTCCACCGATGTATTTTAGTTTAAGATTTGGTTCATTTGATTTTCGAGTTTCCAGTTTGCTAAGGAGGTGCTTTATTTTAGTTTGGTCAAACTTACCAAGTCTTAAAACTCTGATTTCTCCCAAAGTGGCTTGAGCCTCAATGTTTCCAATTAGTTGCTTGACAGTTTCAAGTTCTTCCTTATTTCTGTCTTCATAGTTTTGGGCTTTGGATTCGTCCATTCCAAAAATAAGAATGTTACTCGCTCTTTTTTCTCTTTCTATAAGCTCGGATATTGTCACTTCCATTTCTGGGCTGTTTTTTCTTGTATTGGTTGCTTCTGTTTTGGACTTGATGGTTTCTATTTTGTTTTGGAGAGCAGTAATGTCTGCATATGTAGGCGCTTTGCAGTTACTTCCCGGGTTTCTTGATTTAATTGTTCCACATTGTTTTGGATTTCTTTTAGTGTGTTTTCTAGTAGTTTTTGCTTTCTCAGAAAGGGATGTTAGGTTTTTTAGTGGTTTCAATTCATCCGCTAAATAAAAATGTTTTTGTCATACGCTCCCAAAAATACCTATTTTACGGACTCATTTGAGTCCGTAAAATGCCCATTTTTCGGCCTAGTCCCTAAAAGTTGTCATAGCAACCTTTACGGACTATTCCAAAATTTGTTAGGTCTAAATTCGAAAAAATAAAACCGTTACCAATATTTGATTGTTTTATCTATACTAACAATATCAAAAGCTTACAAATCTAATAATAATTGGTCGGATGGAAAGTTATTTAGATAAATGAAAATGGAATGAACAATTTTTTGCATGTTGAAAGCTGGTATCAGTAAACGAAATTACTCCTTTTCCATGTCAGGTAAATCTACTTTCTCATGAGGTGGAGCAAATGCGAAAGATGTACTTGGAGATACATCCGTGGAAGTAGTTACGATTTACTTTTCCCCCATAAGCATTTTGCAAACTTTCTTTTTTTTTTCAATAGATTCTTCTATGTAACCTTCCGCCACTGTGGACGATCTAAATAATTATTGTTGTTTAGATCAAGATCGGAAAATATTAATATTTTTACCTCCAACCTCCTAGGCGTTTCAGCGATGTGAGATACACATCTGCATCTGCAGCAAGAGTAGCAGCACTACGTCGGAAACAATGACCTGTATATTCGTTTGAGTTCGGCAGCTTTAAAAATGCTGCTACAAGCGAAGGCATCTTTCCGAATGAGTGAATGCCGACGCGTTGCACCGTGCATTTTCCTTTGCGATAAGAGATGAAGACGTAATCATGTGGTACATTTTTTGGTCGAAGACGAGCATATTTTCCATATAACTCAACTGGATTGACCACGTTTCCTTCGCCCACCGCCGGAAACACTCTTTTTATATTAGTCTTTGTATCAGCTAGAGTTACTAGAAGGCAGTTGTCGTCTTTTTGTATGATGTCTTGCACTCGTAGAGAGTGCAATTCTTCTCTTCTACACGCTCCACAAAGGCCGATAACAAGAGCAACCTGATAATAAAATGGAATAAGAAACCATCCACATATCACCGCAAACTAACCTTAGTGAGTAAATAAGCTTCATCACTAGCCGTAGCCAAAAATTGATCGATCTCTTCTCTGGACAATACCTTAGACTTTTTAGGCTCATAACCAACTGAATTCCTCTTCAAAAAAGCAATAACCCTTGGAAATTTTTCTATCTGAATATTTTCTTTAACGCTTAATACTGCTTTCAGCATGGAATATTTTGACCAAACTGTCGATGGTTTGGAAGTTTGTGACTGTAATTTAAGAAAGTATTTCAATTTATAAGCCTCAAAATACATTTTGAGTAGATAATTAGATAAGTATTTAGTTTTTGAAATATTTACTTACTTTTTCGTGTAAATAATTCAGTAAAACATCTTCATTCACAACGAGTACTGCATGTTTGTGCTTCCATTCGACAAAAACATCATATCTACTCCTTTTGATAAATTGCACGAGACTTCACTGGCAGTAAATCGAGCACTATTTCCTTGGCCTTATCAGCGATAAATGCAGGATTTTGGGACATTTTAAAATTTATTTTTGAATGAGAATGGAGAATAGTTTGACAAAATTATCAAATAAACTTGTTGCTATGATACTACGACATCAATTATTTTTATGCCAACATGATGCCAACCCTGCTAAATTTTACAAAACAATTATCATAGAAAAGTTACATTCCAACGAACTGTCAAAAATGACGTTTGTCAAAAGTTAGTCAGGACAAACAAATGTGAATTGCGCAAAAATAGTGGTAAAATGGCTGCATTTTGTTGTGTAGTGAAATGTAGCAGTAGAGGAGGACGCGGCACCGTTAAATTTCATAGAATACCATCGGAATTAAATCGAAAAAATCCTGAGAAACTTGAAGTGACACTTGTGTGACACAATAAAATTATGTGCCCTGACTGATTTTCTTTTTGTTGGAATGCCCTATTGTAAAAATAGCGTATGACAAAAAATAGTCCGCCTCGTCCGGAAACAGCAATGATTCGTCCTGAAAAACTTCATTTTAGGTACTTGTGACAAAAATAACTATTTTAGGCGACTGTCACAAAAAGATTAGTTTTACGGATTCAATGTCATCCCTAAAGTATATCTTTTTTGGCCGCATTCACTTTACGGCCGCATTTACTTCACGGCCGCATTTGCTTTATCACTTTACGGCCGCTTTTACTTCACGGCCGCTTTTACTTTACGGCCGCTACAAATTTCCACATAAAATACTAAAAAAAAAACGGCATGATTAAAAATTTGGGAGAAGTATTTTCTTGCCAAAATTAAATAATCCTCAACGTTATGGTCTTCAGGTCCACCTATGTTATACTCTATGTTGAAATTTACAATTATAGTCGGAAATACCTAACATATCAGCAAGTTTTCAAAATTGATTGCTTTTTTAAAGAAGCTCAATGTTAGATACCAGGCGAAAAAGTCGGCAAATTTCTATAATCACTTTATCGTAGTTTTTGTTATTAATAATTGTGTATCTACCTTTTGCTGGATTATTTATTTGATCAATAAAGTTTAAAGCTACTGTTGAATTTTCTTCTTTTTTCAAGAACAAACACTCGCCTAAAAAATTTTGTGTGCACCTCGGCCGAATGATCTTTTTTGGCCGAATCAGAAATTTGCGGCCGAGGCGTAGCCGAGGCCAAGCAAATTTCAGGTGACAACTTTACGGCCTTGGTACACAAATAACTATTATCCAACACATGACAGTTATGACTGTTATTATTAATATCATTTTAGGCAGGTAAACTATCAAATAACACACTAGTGGGTTATAATCCATAACTCACTAGTGAGTTATGGATTATAACTCACGTTCATATCTAAAGTACTATTTTATTTATTTATTACTATTACAAGCTGAATTCACATTGATATTGAAATTAAAGAGAAACGTTACCGGTTTATTCGAATTTGAAGTAATGTAAATTTTGTTGGTTCATTGGATTGGAACCAGACGCTTCCATATCGGTACAGCTGCTGATAGTGCCGGAAGACGCTGACACAAAGAAGCTTGTATTTTTTTCATATTATCTCTTCAAAAAAACGATTTCTTCTACTTGTTGGATAAAACATTGTATGCCACTCGTGTGTTATGTTTCCTAAGTCACTTGAGAATTTATACCACTCGGCCTGACGGCCTCGTGGTATAAATCTTTCTCGCGTGACTTATTTTCAACATAACACACTAGTACCATAAATAACTATTATTTGCAACCATATATGTAATCTTGTCATTACTGACTTTTTAAAAATTTGAAAGTGTCACTTTACCTGTGTTACTTCCCTCTTCGATTTCCCTCATCGATTTCCCTACTCGACTTCCCTCACCGATTTCCCTCACTGTAATTTATTTACCTTTGCTGGCAACAATGAGAACATGTCAGGTAAAAACGTCAAAACAGTGAATGACACATTTTGGCATGTTTGTTTTATTTTTTTATTTGCAACCATGTATGTAATCTTGACATTACTGATTTTTAAAAAAATTGGAAGTGTCACTTTACGTGTGTCACTTCCCTCTTCGATTTCCCTCACCGATTTCCCTATTCGACTTCCCTCACCGATTTCCCTCACTCTAATTTATTTACCTTTGCTGGCAACAATGAGAACATGTCAGGTAAAAACATCAAAACAGTGAATGACACATTTTGGCATGTTTGTTTCATTTTTTTAACATTAAAAAAATTAAATGACTGATCATAATCAATGGTGTGCTTGCAAATAAAATAGTATACAAACCTCGGAGGAAAATTTTCATTTCTGTCTCGAGATTAATAGTCAATCTCGACGCTTCGCGTCTCGATTGACTATATCTCTCGACAGTAATGAAACACTTCCCTACTCGGTATGTAATATACTATTAATATTAAAAAATGAATGAATAATCATAATTTTTAGTGTGCTTGCAAATAAAATAGTATACAAACCTCGGAGGAAAGTTTTCATTTCTGTCTCGAGATTAATAGTCAATAGACTATATAAATCTCTCGACAGTAATGAAACACTTCCCTACTCGATATGTATTTTTTTTAATTCTTTTCCAAGATATCCTGCTCATATTAAAGACGTACTTGACTTATCAATGATTTTAGTTTGTTGTTTTGGGTCCTGTATATTTCATAGTGTGCATCAGTTTTATTTTTCATGTATTTGCTCCTCAATTTTCTTTTTCTATAGATTTCTCTAAGAATTCTCTCATTAATCCATGGTTTTTGTACGTTCGTCCTGCATATTTCTTCTAGAACAAACTTTTCGGAATTGCTGTCGTGAGAATATCTTCAAAGTCTTGGTAGTTTCTTACTGTTCCTTCGATTCTGATTGCTTTATTACTTATATGACCGTTGACTGGTTCATACAATTATCTATGTAGAAGTTTATTTTTCCTGTTTTTTGTAGGCTGTTTTCTGAGTTTGAGCTGCGTTGTCGCAGCAATGAGGTTGTGATCACTCATGCCATAAGGCGGTCTAGATTCAATGTTAGACATCTTTTTGTCACTTGATGAGAAAAGATTCAGAAGGGAACTCTGATTTTTTCTGAATCTGGTGTCGAAGGAGATTAGTTGGTGGCGTCTCGATTCCTTGTAACATGCCAGAAATTTGTTGACTTTTTGACAAGGTTTATTCATATATTATATCACAAGACCTTCAAATTTAATCGATTAAACTATGCAACATATTTTGAGCATGATTTTGCTTGGAAAATAGTTGAATGCACAATAACTTAATAAAAGCTCGAGACCGCGAAGCGGTCGAGGGCTTTTATTTAAAAGTTATTGTGCATGAAACTATTTGCCAAAAAGCAAAGTTGTGCGAAAAATATTTGGATAGTTTAATCCATTTAAATTTCTAGGTCGAGTGATATACGGCTAGATTATTTCCTGAATAATTATTAGGATTGAAGCCACAAACAAAAAGTTCTATTTTTTATTATAAAATGTCAGAATATTTCTATCAAAATTCTGTCAAAAAAGCTAAACAAAAATTTAATCGCTGATAAACAGGTCTTGTGAAATAATCACTTATTTAAACAAAATTTATTCAAAAAATGACGTTGTCTGATTGGTCTATTTTATAATGAATGAAATAATCAGTGTAAGTGTATTGAAACATATTTCCTAGTATAGTTAAAGTCTCCACAGATAAATACTGAACTTTCGACTGTATCAGTTCGCCTTGGGTCTGTAGATGCATCCTATCAGATGTGCACGATCTTGTCAGTGATATTGTTGCTAACTATCTATTCTGCAGCGATGATTATGACAGTAATTTCCGTTTGGAGGACATTTGGTATAAAGCCGAGCGCTTTAGTTAAGTTTAGTTTGATGGCTTCATATACTCCGCATCCCGAACCTTATTTGTTCGCTATACCATCATTGCGGATGCTTTAGCAAATAAATAAATAAGCATATTTTTTCTGTCTTAACTTTGACATTACAACCAATTTTTTTTTCATACTTACCTACATATTTAATTCCAATTTTGTTTCAGTTACAAGACTTCTTATATGATGAAGTTTTATGGAAATACGTCTCAGATGATAATGTAGTGGACATTGTTCAAGAACTAATAGGACCCAATATAACAGCTGCTCATTCAATGTTCATCAATAAACCGCCAAATGCTGAGGCTGAGTCTTCATTGCACCCGCTACATCAGGTAAAATCTATAGGTACCATTGACATATTTCTGGAAGAAAATAATTTTTTTTCTTCTAGGATCTACACTACTTCCCATTTCGTCCGGCTGATAAAATATGCGCTTCCTGGACAGCCATAGAAAGAGTTGATGAAAATAATGGTTGTCTTTATGTCATCCCTGGATCTCATAGAGGGCCACTTTATAATCATACTTATCCAGAGGTAACTTAACTTACACTCAGAAATCCAATGTTCAGCAATGTATATGACTTTTTAGGGTTTCAAAAATAAAATGTATCATGGAATTCAAGGCTTGGACCATCTAAAAAAAACTAATGTAGTAATGGAAAAAGGAGATACAGTGTTTTTCCATTCTCTTTTGTTGCACGGATCAGGGCCTAATAGAACTAAGGTAATACCTGACATTGTTGGCTATAAATTTCAATAAAATACATTTCCTTTTAGGGATTTAGAAAAGCCATATCATGTCATTACGCTGATAGTAACTGCCATTTTATTAACGTAAAGGGAACTAGTCAAGAAAACATAGAAAAAGAAATTGTAGAACTGACAGAAAAACTTGGAGGTGTAGCTATAAAATTTGAGGCAAGTATTTGAATCTTCTTCCTTCTTCAAGTACCAACCATGTTCTCTTCGAACGTTGAGCGCAATTTGCACCTTGTCCACTGCTTTTCTGAAAAGTGTAGTTGTGTTAAGAGCATACCATTGTCTAAGATTTTTTAGCCATGATATTCGTCTACGGCCTGGACCTCTTTTTCCTTCAATTTTTCCCTCTATTATCAGTTTAAGGAGTTCATATTTGTTATTTCGTGTCCAAAATATTCAAGTTTACGTTTTTTGATGGTGAATAGAACTTCAAGCACCTTATCTATTCTAAGAAGAACATCCGCGTTACGTACTCTGTTCATCCAAGATATTCTGAGCATTCTAATAGCACCGCACATCTCAAATGCCTCCAATTTTTTGCTCATGGCATTAGTTTGCATGTTGTCTCAGTTTTCATTGAGCTTACAACCCAGGTATTTGTAAGAATTAACGCTTTCGACTTGTTGGCCATTGACTTCTAATATACCCCTGATGTACCTTTCTTTAGCCATCCATTTTGGTTTTCCTACATTTAAGTTAAGTCCAAATTGCGAGCTATCGTCTGCAAGTTTATCTAGGAGCTTCTGCAGACCTTCCAGTGTATGTATCTGCGATAATAACTGTGTCGTCGGCATATCTTAGGTTGTTGATTTTAATGCCATTTATAGTCAAGCTCTCTTTGCAGTTGTGCAGTGCGTTCTCTATGATTTTCGTAGATTCTGTCCGTATTCGAACATCTTCGGACAATTGGCCATCAACCCTTATCTGAGCTGTCTGGTTCCAGTATAGGTTGGCAATTATATTTAGGTCTCGATCATCTAGACCAACTTCTTCGGGATATTCTATGAGCTTTTCGTACTGGACTCGATCAAAAGCCTTTTCATATTCTATGAAACAGGTACCGACACATCCCTAGAACGTTGAACCAAGACCTGAACACCAAATAAAGTTTCTCTAGTACCAAACCCTCCACGAAATCCAAACTGTGTGTTTCCCATGAACTATTCGCACTTTTTCGTATATTCTTTTATGGCTAATCTTTAATAATATTTTCAGCATATAACTCATTAGGCTGATTAAACGGTAATCACTACACTTCTTTGCCGAGTGCTTTTTAGGCAGTGTAACAAAGGTTGATTTCATCCACTGGAATTTTACCGCTGCGATAAATCAAGTTAAATAGTTTGACCAGCTTATTTAACGAATTTTCGTTCTTTAGAGGTTTTAAAACTTCCGTACTTATATACTTCGACTTCGTCTTGCCCTACCTGCCAAAGATATTGCGTGCTGAACTTCTTTTGTAATATCTATGCCTTGGTTTGAGAATTTCTCCGGATGTTCGGACCGATTATCGCTAAAAAGATTTTCTATGTAGTTACACCATACTCGAAATTTTTCTATGGTATCTGGCCGCTTCCTTTATGTACTTGTACAAAAACGTGTCATGTTTAGCATCAAGATCTTCCATTTCTTGACATTGTTGTGTTATTCATTCTTGTTTTGCCATCTATACTTTGTTTTTTATTAGTCTATTCATGTCCTTGTACTGAGGGTTCCTTTTTTTTTCTATCTGACAATATTCACTTTTCCTGTCTGAAACATACTTTGAACGTTCGAGGTTGCAATCTTCTTCATGACAGGCCCGAAGATTCTTAGCACCCTCTGATCACTTAAGACCTGCCGGGGACTGAGGGCCTGGGCTTTTGGTTTTCCTGTCATGCTGATGATTTTTCCTGGGGATGATAATGAGGTGGTTTCCCCTTGCCTTTCTCATCGCAATATTAAAATCGTTAAGGCCGTCCTTGTCACGCTTTTAGCTGTGTAACTTACTGCCGTTTTCTTTCTTTATCTAGAAATACGCCAAACAATTAAGTTTACTAATTTTAGTGCTACTGCTTCCTAACACTAATTTTCTCGCCATATCTGACTACCCCAATGAATTAGAAAGAAGGTTTGGAATGGGCTTTGCGTCATTCAATTGATTCCAGCAGAATGAGATAGCTTTAGTAAGGGCAAAAAATCTATTGGATCTCCTATATCTCTCACTCTAACCCTGAGTGAGATAGCGCTCCATCCAGGGTAGGAAAATCTCATGGATTTCTCCTGTTCGCTCACTCTAATGTTTGCCGCAAATTTGCAATGTATTGCATATGTATGCAATATGAATTGAGTAGATAGGCGAAGGGCTATTCCAACCTTCTTACTACTTCATTGGACTACCTTGCAGTATCCAGGGTGTGGCATGTGGAGCCATATGTGAAAGCTGACCGCCCTGTAAGGACCAATTGTTTAAGACAATCTTCTATGTCTCTCGATGCGACCATCTTAAACAAAAGGGACTGCCTCTACAGCGCAGTCCAAACCCTGAATACTTTTCAAATAAATATAATTTTTCATATTTTTTTTAGGATGTGTGGAAGACAAAAAGTCGTCTTGTAAGAGGAAAGCCTGGAAACTTCCAAAATCTTAGCAGTCATTTGTAAATTATTGTAACATCCAAAACATTGATGATAATTAGCCATTCCAAAGATCATTTGTATAATCATTTCATTATTTTGTAAAAATCCCTTTTAACTTAAAACAACATAATTTACAAAGAATACTTTATTTTATTTTTTTAATATTACATACAGTCTTATTTTATACATATCTTCAAAATAAAATGATTAATAAATATATTTTGTTTAGAATAAAAGCAAAATTCGAATATTTTCCTTAACAAAAATATTGTTTTATAAAATAATTAGGCCAGCTTACCAAAACGCTGTTTGGAATTCGAAAAAAGCGTTTCAACAGAAATATAGGTACTCGCACTACTCGGTTAGGGGTGTTCCTCCTCTTCAACTCAAATAAAAAAAAAAAAAAGATTTGTCTCCATTTATTGATTCCAAACAAGATTTGTGGTTCACTCTAATGCCTAGTTTATAAATCCAGAATTAAATTACAAACTGGACATAATTTATCAACATGAACAGATATCACAATATATATTTTATGTTTATGTATATGTATGTACAGGGGGTGTTCCAGAACAGGGGCCTTTTTTTTTGAATTACATGTGACGCAAAATAGCGTTTGCAAACCAAACTGGTAAAGAACATTCACTCTGATTTATTAATTGAAAAAATGTGTCGTCTATGTTTCTCCCGTTTTTCAAAGTCTTAGCTTAACACCAACTCTATGTCGGAACTACACCATTTCAACCTCAATTTCGGAAAAAGTAACTTTTATTTAGGAAAATGTAAAGTCATTTTCGGAAAAAGTAAAGTCAATTTCAGAAAAAGTAAAGTTAATTTCGGAAAAAGTAAATTCAAATTCGGAAAAAGTAAATTCAAATTCGGAAAAAGTAAATTCAAATTCGGAAAAAGTAAATTCAAATTCGGAAAAATTACATTTAATTACGGAGAAAGTGATGTTATTTTTTAGAATAATTTGAATTGATGGAAAGTAAATTTAGCAGTGACTATAAACCTCCTGTCAGTGTACTTAACTTTAATTAGGTTCTATGAACATATGCCCTAAGATGCTCCTTGAAGAAGTTACAGCGCTTCAAACGGCAGATGAAAATAATGTATTTTATTTATTTTCAAGAACAAAGGCAAACTATTTTCCTTGAAATTTGGTATTCTTGCATACATTTCGATGCCACAGCGAATGGTGATAGTAAAAAAAGTCGTAAAACAGTCCTGAAAGAGTATATATAGTTTCCATAATCACCTCTCGAAGTAAGGTACACTATTTTTTCCACATCCTGTATACCTCGAGTCGAACCAAGACCTGTGTACTTTGTACTTTAATTAGGTTCTCTACATAGATACACATTGTTATTTGATGTAGGTATAGTTCATACCAAATAAACTTGTAGTTGTGACATCGATGACGCCATTTTTAAAATCGTTATCGCCAACCGTGAAAATATTCGGCGTCGGATTGACTTAATTGGAATTTGAATTTCCCCCTGGCCATTCAGTTGGTAACAACACTTCAAAAAATGTAATGTTGCCAAATTAAATTCTTGACATTTTGAATTTTGATTGCGTTTTGACAGTTTACGAGTTTTTGGTTCAAGTGCTATTAATTGTGAGCTAGTTTTTCAAAGCAGCTTGTAGTGTGAAGTGTACAACATGTCGAAGCAGCTTAATAGCCGTTGCAAAGAACTAATCGCATCCTTTTTACAATATTTTGAACGAGAACGCGATAATAATAGCCCTTAAATGCTGGTAGGTGGGTGTGATCAAATAGGAATTTTCAATTAGGCAATCTCAATCACGTGATTTTATAATGGCCGTTCGGGTCAAATATTGCCGTGACAAGGGTGACAAGCCGGTGACGTTCATAAGGAGAGCATTTGTGCACATTTGTGTTCAGGCCCTTGTTGCTTTCGAAGTGAATTTTATAGTCTTTGGTGTTTCTACGTATTTTTTATTGGTTTTGGCCATTGTTGTTTTCATACTGAATTTTATAGTCTTTAGTATTTCAAAGTATTTTAGTGTTTTGACCCTATTGTTGTTTTCAAAGTGATATTTATAGTGTTCATAGTGTTTCTACGTATTTTTTAATTTATTAATAAATTCTGAGATGAAGAGTGAATATTTTAAGGTATTATTATTAGAAGAAAATCGAGCCTGTGTTAGATCCTTTCTTTTAGTTGCAGCAATCCATAAAACCCTGTGTTGCCAATGATTTAAAATAGCAGGAACTGAATAAAATTTCACATTTTTCCTGTTACCTCGACTTCCACACCCAATTATGATGCAAATCGCTGGCATTTTAATTAACGCAATACCTAAACACACTAAAAAATACAAAATCCGATAATTCAAATCTGGACGTTTGTCCAAAATGTGACAGAATCAATGACATACAGAATAAACAACACAGTGCTTGACCCGAACTTCCATATTGAATTTCGTTTTTGACAGGTCAGTAGATTGCCTAATTTGAACCTTATTTTCTCTCATTTTTAGCGCGTAGCAGAAGCTTTGAACTTAAGTATGTCCACTGTCTGTGCTATTTCAAAGAAAGTCAAAAATAACGAAGTTTTGGAATCGCCTTCTAAGAAGCGATGCACTTCGAAGAGAGTCTGTGATGTTTCCAAGTTCGATAGCAGTGCTATATGTAACACCATTTATGATATGTATACAAAAAGTAAATCGTCTGAGATAAAGGTACATAGATATCTATGAATCGCCTGAATACAGAGAGCAGTTGTATTATATGTACAAATGAAATGCTTTTTTTAGATATATCATACTTCATACTGGCAATGAAAATTTGGATTCATTGAAGGTGCATCGCTGGTACTTTCATCGAAAACTCAACGACTATCATGGGAAAATCAGAATCAGAATAATTGAAAATATTCTTGATGGTCCAAATATTCATAATGTTTAATTATTTATAGTATTTAGAGTGGCTGTAAATAAAAAAGGTACTGAGCGTTACTATTATATTTTAAGTGATGATTGACAAATGAGTTGTTATTGAATATCTATCAAACCAAGCTTTGAAACAATGTTTATAATTTAGGTAATAAATAATGTTTGCATTATATTATAATATAATCCATTATTGTTTCTGAAAATATTTTGACCAAAGGAAAATATGCAAGAGACGGCAACGCTGTGCTGACCGAGCTTGACAACCCAACTATAAGTTTATTTGGTATGAACTATAAGTTTCGAAATTTACTTGTTGAAGACTTGGGCTCAATCTCCAAAGATTCTCACTCCTCTTGCACCTTTTCCATAGATTCTTGCTCTTTTTCCAGGAATTCCTCATATATTCTAGCATCTTTTACACAGACTTTCACTCTTCGTCTTCATTGGGTTCCTGCTCACCTGCTACTGGAGCTGGAAAAAGGCAAAGGAGTGAATGTTCAGGCTACTACTCAAAGCCTCAAAACTCACTCCTCTGTTTTCTTCAGCGGGTTTATGGAAGGAAAGCTCACATTTATTTTACCTATAGGCAAAACCTCAATAAAATGGTTGAATGAGCAAGAACTGAACACAACTTTTTAATAATATTGAATTATCTGAAAAATATGGTCCTAATTGAAACACCCCGCACAGTGGGAAATAACAATTAATAATAAATAGCAATGTATATAAGTATTATTGTAATGTGACATATTTTACTAAAAAATAGGCAATATTGTGAGTAGTTTCGATTGGTTTTCAATTAAATTTAACCTATTGTTATTATTTTTTTGGTATGAACAAACTACAAACTTGGGTATTTTCATAATCATTTTGAGCTGAATTTACATGAATATAATCTATTATTTATACAGATATAATGAAGATTAATTTTTTCTGAGCTTTAACGAAATATGGCATAAAAATATTGTTTTTGGATAGCATTCCTCAGAAATTAAATTTTAAAATATATATTTTTTTGTACATAAAATACATAAGTAGGTATTCATATGTATATAAAAGAATAATATAATAAACCTTTGTGCATTTTAAGAAGCGCAACAATATTGTCACCTTGTAAAAAGAATATTCTGGTCAGCAAATTATTGCAACCCTTTTTGCAACATAACGTAGTTACCCTCAATTTTGGTAATGGGGGTTGTAGGGGGCCTGTTTGACATATCCTTCCGGCTGTGGGGGATATGGTTGAGGTGGAGGCATAGATACTGCTACATCATAGGGTGGAGGCTGAGCTTGGTATCCTGGACCAGGTGGATATCCTAGAATTGAAGTAACAAATAAAGTTTACAAATGAACCAACACTTTATGTGATGATATTCGATATTCGTAACAGAATCTGACCTAAGTAAAATTCATGACATGTTTTTGATTGAATTTGAAACCTTGTTTTGTTTGCAATTATGTGCTAGGCGAAATGTGATAACTTCGAACTATAAAAACTCGGTAATCTAAGGACAACCATGATAATAATAGAAGCACTGTTATAATATTTTATCATACATATTATTTGAATCGAGTTTATGTCAATGAAGCTTATTTTTATCTAATGAGCTAATAATTAGCATTAAGTAGATAAGGTTATTATTTTGGGGAATACCTGGGAATATAATGATTATGAAAATTATTCACCAAATTCTTTGTTCCTATGTATTTATGAAAAATAAGAAATGTTGGTGATTATTCTTACCTGCAGGCGGATAGCCTCCTGGAACAGGTCCCGGAGGGTATGGTGCCCCACCAGGTGGAGGATATGGAGCCCCTGAATGTGGAGGATAGCCTAAAAAGAAATAATTTTTTTTTATTATGTAGGTACATGAACAATTCATATAAAAAAGGATGCACCAAAAACAAACAAACCTACTAAGCATACTAATTAAAATTGAAATGTGTACTAAACCAATCGATACGGGAAGCATAAATAATAAGATAATGTGTGTAATTTCTGCTAATCGATGTTGAAAGAAATATATTGAATGGTATTCAAAAGTTTCTAAAAATATTGTAAATTGGTGATGACACTATTTGATTCCCTTAAGCGTCTTTATTATCTTTTCTCAATTTTATATTAGCTTTCCCTTGTTTAAAATTCATATAACAGAAGAAATAATATAATATTCGAAGAGAAAGTAAACAATTAAGAATAGCAAAACAACAAACCACAAAATGCAACCCCAAATTGAATAGAATTTGGTTTGCACTAAGCATAATCTTAACCAAATATTGACGGTAATAATAATTCTCAACAAACATACTGGATTATTAACAATACTGCGAGCAATACTGCATAAAATTTACGTAATAAACTCTACACAGGATGGAACTGGGATGTTATCAATGTGTGGTTAAATAGAATTGCCCACATAAAAATGGCATAAGATAGCCAGAAGAAAAAAATCAAGGATTGTTTCAATTTTTTCATAGAATCTATAATCCCTGGATATATTATTATAGAGCCACGTAACAAAATTAAACTACATTTTAATAACTACAGTTACTCATTCATTACAAAATAAGTTAAATGGGTACCTACAAAATGAAAAATCATCAATCAAACTAGAAAATAAAACAAAATCGTGCAGGCCAAATTTAAATTGGATTATGTAGTGTAAAAATTAGGGCAGAAAGCTATCAGCTACTCTACAAGGTAGCTTAAAATATTAAAACACATACCCATTGGAGGTGGATAGAAGCCTGAAATGATAAGAGAATTTAAAAAATGTGATACATTTTACTAGGTAATAAAAGTTTGAGGGCTATCGACAAAATTGTGTAACAATAGTATAAGTAGGATGTATGATATGTGATAACAAAAAATATGCAGTGGAGCCGAGAATCAACCACATCCTGAGAAGATGATATCCGTTTAAATGGTTTTGATGGTAGGTAAAAATTAAAAATTAATGTCTCTGAAAAAAAAAATATTTCAGCTACAATTCAAACACGGGAAAATTATTACAGATTCAGGGAACAAGACATGATTAACCTTGTCAAAAGCCTAATTTGCAATTAATGTATAATAAGTGAATCAAATGAGAATACATGAATAAATAAGTTGATGTGAAAGCTTCCATAGTGTGAGAAATCTACCAGCGTTTGTATTATTTGGGAAAACATTCCCAAAAATCAAAATTAAATCCTGATTTATTCTCAGATAGTTATATTTAAAAAATAAATTTTGTTTGGAATTATGCCGAACATTATATTTTCAAAATATAGGTACAATCCTTACCTGGTTGAGGTTGAGGCATGGGCATTGAGGGCGGATAAGGATTACCGCCTCCGTAACCGCCTCCTGGCGGTATACCATCTATTGGATAGGTTGGGTGCGAATTTGGTTGTGTTTGGATTATTGTCGTACTAGCGGGGCCAACTGAAACAAAATGAGAATATTAGTTCACATAGAAAAATACATAAATAATAAAAATGTTATTATGTAAGACTGCAAATTTAATGGCTTGCTCTCAACTGGATTCTAAACTTAAGCCATGTTTCATAAAGTCCTGCCTTTCAGTAATTCCACCTGAGACATTTGCATAATTAAGTTCTACTTATCTCAAAGGCTCATTAGGAGGTCCTCACCACGTGCATGACCCCAAAAAGCTATCAAACAGGGTAGGTATATAATTATAGAGTTTAACAAAGCATATATATTTAAACCAATTATTGACTCTCAACTTCAAATGCAGCTGAGTTAGCTCTTACAGTATAAGTATTATTTTGCGGTTAATCTTGGTACATATACAGTAACCAGTAACATAACCGTATCTGAAGTCAAATTGATCACAAAGAGAACTTTTGTCTCTGCTCTCTTTTCCAAACAGGCTGCAGTATCGTATACAGTAAACTTATTTTCAGTTCTAATACAAAGCATTATTTGTATTATCTGAATCTCAAGCTGCAGTCGGAATATTTATTCATACCTAGTGTTGTAAAATTCTCGGTAATTTACGAACGTTACCGAACTTTCGGGAATGTTTGAGAATTTTCGAGAATTTATGAGAACTTTGGAGAATGTTGCAAAAGCACCTATAAATTCGGCTTTTTAATGTAGAGCTTTTAAAAATGCCTAATAATGAAAAAGTTTAACTAAATTTCCCTATTTTTTTTTTCTCTGGTAGGGGTAGGTGAATTTTCCATAAATGTAGATATAACCCGTGTCTATGTATTATTAATTTATTGTAAAGAAAATGATAATATTTATAAAACTAATACAAGTCTTGTTTCTTGTAAGTTGGTGAAATAAAAATAACGTAGATGTAGGTAGCAGTGGTAGCGCCAAAAAATAAAACTCAAAAATCTTTAAATGCAAATACCTACATAACATAACTACATAAAGTGTTGAGTCAAAACAAAAAATAATATAAAAAAATAAATTTCGAAATAAAAATAGGAACTCTAAAAAAAGGAACTTAAAAAACGAACTTTCTGTAGGTAATGGTAATAACACAAGTAGTTATAAAATAAAAAAATAATAATAAAAATATTCAGAAATCAGGGTCCATGTCCATGATTAATTCTGAAAAATCTTCAGGCCCAACGGAATAGTCGCTACCATAAAGAGAGTATTCTCCTTCTTCTTCTGAAGATGACTTTGATAACTCAAATCAAACGATAAGGCAATGTTTAGAAATGCATTTTCAGCGAACTTTCGCTTAGAGAGGAGCAAACATTACCGTAAAGTACAGTAATAGTGCAAACGTTCGCTCGGTAAAGTTCGCTTGTTACAGCACTATTCATACCTTCGCTTGGTGCATTTTATCATATTTGCAATGAATACATCAATGCGAAATAGCTATTTTCATTGTACCAAGTTACTTAAATTACAGAATTGTAATTTTCTTATATGTCTGAATAAAACAAGAAATAAATACTAAAATTGGTTAGATAAGCTGCTGACAACAGTTCCACAGTTATATTATCCAGGAAAACAAATATTTACTATACTCTTAGTCTTATCACACAGCCCACGGGTGTATATTTTATAGGCACTAAATATGTTCAGTTCGTCATTTTCAACCAATAAAGAGATTTCTAATAGTACAAACATCAAACATGAATCAATTTTATACCTTGCCCAAATTAAATTTCCAAATGAATGTGTTTTTTTGTTGTTGTGTTTTCTACTACTGTGTGACAAATAATAGGTCCCATAAGTGAAACTCAAGAAGCAATCATTGTAGTTGAATTTGTGGAAATGCTTTATTGTTCTAAGAATAATTGACATTTTTATGAATAGCTTCTGTCTCATCACTTGATGCTTGGTTTTGAGTTATTTTTATTATTTAAAATTTACTGAGTGTTGTTTGGGATAAGACAATGACTGCATGCGACTGTATTATGACTGCATGAAAATCTATGGACTGCAGAAGAATGTATGGACTGCATATACAATATACATGAATGTATGATATTTATCTTGTTCTAACACTTTGTATCTCCCTCTATTTAATATTTTTAACAAATCATTATCTTCTGGAATTTTTCCAGAAATGTGGAAGCTCTCCTACATTTGTCCTATTTACAAGTCAGGCAGGAAAAATGATGTAACAAATTACAGACCCATCAGCATTCTGTCTGCGATTCCAAAATTATTTGAGCAGTGCGTGGAAGAAATTCTTTCAAAAATATTTCGTCAGATTGTGATCAGTCAACAGCACGGTTTTACAGCCGGTAGATCTGTAGAGACGAACCTGTTTCTCTTTACAACATTTATAAATTCATCATTTGCTAATAATGCAGAAACTCATGCAATATATACTGACTTCAGTAAAGCCTTTGATAAGGTAAACCGCAACACAACATCCTTCTTTCAAAGCTTTCAAGTTTCGGCGTTTCTGGGCATTTACTTTCATGGATGAAATCTTACCTTACTAACGGAATGCAACAAGTCAAGATCGACGTCTATGTTTCTTCTCTTTTCCATGCATCCTCTAAGGTACCTCAAGGTTCTCACTTCGGCCACCTTCTATTCAGCTTATTTATCAACGATTTAGGATCGTTGCTCTCCTGAATTTTTTTACTTTTTGCTGATGACTTGAAGTTGTATCGTCAGGCGATGTCAGCTCAAGACATAGGTAATTATTTTGCAAAATGATCTTAATATCGTTTATGATTATTGATTGGTGTCAGCTTAATTACATGTCCCTCAACATCGATAAGTGTTGTTGTATAAGATTCAGTAGACGCACCCATAGTGTTCCCTTGCAGTATTACTTAAACAATGTTCGCTTGTCTGAAGTTTCTATCATTAAAGATTTTGGTGTCTATCTAGATACTAGGCTAATAATGTTCACTGAGCATTTTGAAGTGGTAATTGGCAGGGCTAAAAAAATGTTGGGTTTTATTAAGAGAGCTACTAGGGACTTCACAAGTATACGCCCTATCAAAATTCTTTACACATTACTGGTCAGGTCCATTCTTGAATTTTCATGCATAGTTTGGTCACCTTACTATCAGATCCACATCAATAGGCTTGACAGTGTTCAACACATATTTATCAAGTTTGCAAGGTACAAACTTTCTTTGAGTGGTGTGATTCTCAGTGATGACCTGACTATGACTTACTTAGACTTATCTACTCTTGTTCGCAGAAGGGAATATTTTGATGTCTGTTTAGCATTTAAAATCCTTAACTACTACATAAAAAGCCACGAATGTCTTGGATGTTTTAATCTACACATTCAAAGTTATCAGACATGAAGTAAATCTTTACTGCACATTCTTTACTGTCGAACCTGGTACTTACTATTCAGTCCTGTGAATAGAATATCTGCCAATGTAAATAAGTTCTGTGAGGGCCTTGAGTGCTTTGATTTATCTCTGGATAAATTTAAGACAAAGGCCAGGAGAATTGTTTTAGGGTAGATTTTTTAGATTTAAACTCTGTACAACTTCAAATGTATTTTCCTTATACGTAAATAAATAAATAAATAAAATAAATAAATTTATACACCTACTGCACAAGTGAAACACCACTCGGGACAGTAGGACAAATAAAAATAGGAATTTCTCACTCCGTGAACGTTTTGGTTTTAACTTTTATTCAAAACCTTCGTCAGCACTACAAAACAAAACCGGCAACCATAAAATTCAAAAGTCTTCCAATGTCCAATACCTTAAGAGAAGTTTTGTACATTTCAAAAACAAGCTAATAAGAATCGGATCAGTGATTCCTTAATGTGGGGAAACCCCAAGATTTCAATAAAATTGCTCACCTTTTAAGCCTGACCTTACTGGCGAGATAAACAGTTTCAAACAAAAACAAATAATTGGAATAGGTACTTACGTCCATAGGTAGTGCCTTCTCGTTTTTTCCTACAACACCATCCACATATCGAGAATATTATAATGCAAATAATAATTACAGCTATAGGTCCGGCAATATCGAGTCCCATTTTCTAATTATGGGAAACTGCCCCAGAGTCAAAGTAGCCTGCTAATATAGTTTTTGGGTGTGTTGTTTTTTTGGCGACTCACTTTAGATTTGATTAAAAACAAGGTAGTTAACACTTCACGATGAATTTTTCACAGAATGTCCTGTCCTTGACAAATTGTATTTTTAGATTTTCAATTAAATTTGTTCTCTCTTTCCTCTTTGAGGACACGACGGACAAAACTATTTAGTATATAGTCAAAACACGGATTAATCGAATACGGATATAAAAAAAAAAAATACAGTCAGAAAGTGACAGGACAAAACTGACACCTGACACTAGTGACACTAGACTAGGCATTTTCATTCCATCAAGCACGAGCTGAACGCTTTTTGATTTAAAGGCAACAGTGCTAGTGCTGTGTCGGTGTACGTTCTACAAATGGTTATGACCCTATGACCTTGAGCGGTTTACCTTACCCCACAAATTATAAAATTATAAACAAAGGTCTGTTTCTGCAGAAATCACAAACCAGTCAGAGTAAATTTCATTGGTTGACACTAGTTTTCTGACTGTTTTCAACCAATGAAATTCGAATTTGAAGCTGGTCATAAAATCCTGACATCAGAGAAATAGAACCTTGATAAAATAAAGATTGCGGATTGGCCAATTATAGTATTTTTCTGACAAATAAATAAAAGTTAACTTCTGGAATGACGTCACATCTTAGTTATTTGTCAAAAGTTTTATAATACCCGCCAGTCGCGACTCGCGCCGCCCTATGTAGCCCTAGTCATAATGTATTTTTCACTAATGGGAAGAAGGAAGTCTCCATTAGGAATCGTGGCAATCAATAGCATACGTATTCAAGGACTTATTTATCTAATTATTATTTATTTAATTAGGAGTGCGTGATCATGAAATAAATTCGAAAAGTACCTATTTGCTTAAAACTACCTACCTGGATAAAACGGATCGCGACGTTGATTAGAATCGTTGTCCCTGCAACATAGGCAGCAGAGCCCTAGAAACAGGAAATTGGCGTTTTTCAAAATTGCCGTAATTATTATAGAAAAGTCTACCTATGCATAATCCACATTCACAGCAACACCTCAACAATTCACAAAAATCGCCGTCCATTTTTGCGACTCAAATAAAAATAGAACAAATATTTATAATTATACTATATTATAAATTAAAAATAATAATAGTGACGGAGTGTGATAAGCTCTAATTATTTATTATTTGTTTGCACTGCCTTGAAATTTTTTAGCGCTAGCGCAATAGCGAGGGAAATTTCAAATTACAACAATTTTAGGGACATTTCGATACTATCGATATAATACTCTGTCGATATTTTGGTTTCGATATAAACTATTTTAGTATCGATTCCAACTACGATACTTCACTCGCATCGAAGATCTTTCACTATACGTAGATATCTAACCTTTGTCATTTATTCCTATTTCCTATTCACACAAATATAGTGACAAATATCTATTCCATACCCATACCTAGTCCGACTTTTATAATCTGATACTCCAGGAATCTGAGTTGGTGACTCCTCAATGTCTCCTGAGCTCCCGACTAAAATATGTTTTTTTTTTAAGATAAAAGTCAAAATGACATTATGTTGGCAATGCAATGTAAAATTGTCAATGCTTTCAAATTTTTAATGTAGAAAAGGCTTGTGTTGCCAACATAGTTACTAAATTTTCGACTTGGGGAATTATCTTTAAAAAAAAAACAGACTTTATTTCAATTTCATGACAATCGTGAAATTTATTTTTTCTCATAAGATCCGTGCGTGGTCCTCTAAATTTTAAACTACAACCGCTAGTGCAAACAGCTGATGACTGAGTTATGACGTCGGAAATGTTGACATGCCAATATGGCGGCGATATTGGCGGCGATTACCAAAAACGAGGCCGATAAGCAACCCTAGTAATTTGTATTATCCTTGACCCTGTCCTCACTCTATTTTTGCTGTATTTTTCATCCCCTCGCTCCTCATACGGCAAGTGTGAAATAAACCAACCCACCATTCCTACCAAAGAATGGTCGTATCGTAGACGATAAGTAAGGTCAATTAAGTACTCGATACTTCAAGGTATCGATACTCCGCGGTCGAGTACTTCTTGCGATACCCAAATCTCGATAATTTTACAATAGCTTCATTTATAGCTTCATTCGGGTTCTTGCAATAACTTGTTTTAAAACTGTTAGGAGTGTGCGGAGTTTAAATTTTCGTGTTCAAGTTTGAGTTTGTGCTAGTTTGGGTTATATCTCTGTTGGAACTGTGTTTTCTGACTGTTTTCAACCTGTATCCCTTTCAAGAGCTTAGAGCATTAGAGCTATAGTCGTAATCACGATAGAAAGTGAAGTTGACAGTTCGCGTTGACATTTCTAGAAAACTTTTTCTTTAGGTTGCCAGCATGCGTTAGTGAGTGCTTGGATTCCGTCAGTTGCGTGCTCAAAAGCGTCAGCTGGAAAGCGGCTTTAATAAACGAAGGCGAATGAGCCTGCACCGGGTACATTCTTTAAATAAACGAACGGTAAATTCAAGCTCGCAGAATAGGGAACTTGACAAAAAATTTAAACATGAAAATATTACTATAAATCATAAGAATACATTAATTAAAACCTATATTAGCGAAAAAAACATTTTTTTTTTGTCGCAAACGGCCACAATAAGGAATTGACCTTTTCAATTTAAAAGCTTCTCTCTCTGGCGTCAAACTGTCAGACGCCAAAAGAGTATGAAAACAACGGTTGACAGCCGCTGACAGTGGTTTGTTGACAAGACTTTTGTACATGTCGAAACTAGAAACTATTATTTTCTCGGTTTTTTCAAAGTTTTTTCCTAACAATGGTGATTGTGTAGTGTGCCTTTTTGTAAAAATAATTCCTATTTACCGGCGGACGTGTCTTTCCATAAGTTTCCATCAAATCCTACATTTGTCAAATTTTGGATACATAAAATCAGAAAGAATACTCGCAAAAAAAAGGGAATCCACGGCCCATCAAGTATACAAAGTAATCCACGTTCAAGTTTAGTTTGCGGGAGCTGTTTGCTTCCAAAATAATCCACCGCTTTCTCCATAGCGAAGTTCTGCAAATGAAGTAGTAACTTTTCCCACAATTTCTTTCAAAACACCTGGCATTGACAAGCAAGCAAATGTTGGCGGGAAAATGATTGTTTTCATACTTTTTATTGTCCATCTCTTTTAATTGAAAACGTCAATTGAAAATGCAGAAAAATTCAAATTATTTCCAGCGGGAAAAAACGCTCTGGTACTGGTCGTGACGTCATGTAGTATGATTTGTCAGTGTCTGTCAGCAACCGTCCATCATACCGTGAGTTCGTCTTGAAACACTGAGCACTCGGAGCATTTTCCGTCTTTTTTTCTTATGATGAGAAGAACAGGGATAAAAGAACAAAACAGCATTTCCAAGCGTTTACTCGAACTCTACATAATAAATACCCGTTAGCTGTGTTTATTTACGTTTTTCTCTGATTTTTTAAAATTTTATCAATATTAGAATTGGTTTACTTCGCTTAAATTCAATGATTAGCTTAGCATTATATAAATAAAACGATATACCTATTAATTATGACCGAAGAAGGAAATTCCAAAGGGCAATCCGCCAATCTGTAATTTGTGATATGTTTATAATAACAAAAGTAAGTAGGTATGTGCATTTGCCGAATGCTAGAGCAAAAAACATTGTACCCAACGTTGGATCTAACGTTGGGGCCAATGGTTGGACACATCGTGTGGCGCCGGCTTAACGCAAAATCATACTACGTGACGTCATCCAGATTTAAGGTCGTTTGAAATACTTTTAATTCGCGCGAAACTTTAAACATTTTCCACCAAGTTATTATTGAGTTTTATGGAATAATATTTGGGGAAAACTCTTTCAAGGCATAAATAAATGATTTAAAAAAATTAAAAAAAAAAATGTAAAGTTCCCTATTCACATCAAAATACCGAACGCACGGTGAACTGAGAACACAGAATACAACGAAAATATATTTAATTTTGATCAACATAATAGGCGAAAAGGAAGATGGAAACGAGATCTAAGAAAGAGTTGTTTTAGAATATTAATTATTGTAGTAAAACAAGTATGCATAAAGCTAAAGCTCGCGAAATCATAACCTGTAATGCAACCTGCAAACAGCCTACGTCAAGGCAAGAAAGGACATGCTGCCTACGTCACAACTAGTGATTTGGCGAGGTGGTGGTTTCAGATTTATTGACATAGGCCTCATGAGGATAGGCTATTCTGTAGTAGTAGTGTGTATTATCCTTGCAAGTACATGACCTACGTTTTTATCTGTTAATTATCGGCTATGTTCCGATATAAACTGTCAGTACTGAATTTACTGGACGCGATATTATTTTCAGTACACATAGGGCCGATACTTTTGCCCGCCCTCGATTAACGAATTTGATATGTCGTCAAAATTTTGCATGGGCCAAGGTCTATTGCCTATCCAAAACACGTGACTTTGACAAATAAACAAAGGGTTTGTGTAATAAGGGTTTGTGTGCCACTTGGCGGACATTTTAATTTAGGCTGTGGTCCGAATATAACCAGAGTTGTGGTTTCGTGGTCCGAAAGTAATCAAATTACTCTGGTTCCTGGAAAATGGTTACTTTTGAACCTCGGTTTCCTGAAATCTATTAAACCAAATGTCAAAATAGTTACCGGCCATCGAATGACGGTTCTGTTGGTTTTATCCGTTTTATCTGTAATTTCTGTCAATTATTTTTTATTACCTATTTGCGTTCCCCAAGTAACCGGAATTTTCATCTCCCTGCTGTACCTTGTTTTCCAGCAAATCAGACGCTCCTGTGCGTTCGGTATGTTGATCCGAGTTCTCCGAACATACATTTACCATTCGTTTATTTAAAAAGTGTACTCGGTGCAGGCTCATTCACATTCGTTTATTAAAATTTCGAGACTTCTGATATAAGCTGCTTTCCAGTATGCACATTAGTTGTATTCCTTTCACACCTAGGAGGAGCTCCGGAACAGCTCCGGGGGTTCACGCGCTTATTCCTTTCGAAAAGTGTTTCTCGTACCACGCATTTGTTCCCTGCAAATCGGGGGCTACTAAACACCAGAGCGAGTAGCTCGAGTGTTTCAAACTCTTGAAAGGAATACAACTATTGGCGCGCTCTAAAGCACTCCGGGAGCGCCACGGCCGCCACACACTAGATTTGTACAACCGTTCCAGTATTATGACGTGTGTAGGAGTGTAGGGTTGCCAGATTTACTAGAGGGAAAAGCGTGACAACGACGGGAGGATTTTTTTTAATTTCTATTCCACGCAGCACGCACAAGGAATTTGCGGTGACCTTCAGTGGGGGTAAATCTTTTATTTCCGTAAATGAGAATAGTATACAGGGTGTTTGCAGGGCCGGCTCTAGGAATTTTACCGCCCTGGGCAATGAGTAAATTTGCCGTCCCATCCCATGGCCCGCTTAGAGAAAATGTGAGAGATCTTGAGTTGTAGGAACAAAAAATAATAGCACGCCATTTGACATAGGTTCACGTGGGACCAATGAACTATAGCTAAAAACTGGAATGCGCACACATTGCCATATCTGCCAAAAAAATGAAGCCATGAAAGACAGATGCCACAAGGGGGAATGTTGTTTTTTTCTGTTGCTCGCTGATATATGACGTTTTCGAAAGTTTTGTCATATTTCCCTTCACAGGTTTCATCAATTGGAATACGTGTTGGAAGCAATTTTCGCCATTTAACATAATGAGTGCGACAAAAACAGGTATCCCCTCCGCAGCAGCCGCACTAGGCTTCAAGTTCGTCCTTATGTGTTAGCATTCCAGTTTATGGTTATAGTTCATTGCGTGGGACAGTTTGTGTGCAAATTTGTAACACGCCACGTGATGACACGTTCATTTTACTCTATACATTTTATTCAGAAAAATTGTCAGTACCATCAATATCTTGAGTACATTATGGAGTATAGGAGCAGTTCGTCTAGTGACTTAGTTTCTAGAAGAATGTGCTGCTGCAGCTCTGATTTTACAGAACAAAAAAAAAGAAGATTCTGGGTGCACAAAATAAACAGGAATCGAGAAGAATATGGTGCTTTCCATGTATTAATGAGAGAGCTGGAGGCAGATCGTAGTCGATACCATGTACTTCCATATGGACAAAGAACAATTAGATTATTTCCACAAAATATTGAATAAATACAGAATCAAATTGCGGCGGGGCTAGAGAGGCGGCCGGGGAAC